TTGGCTGAAATACCAAGGGATTAACAATAGCAGTACCGTAGACATGTTAGCCTCGTTTACATGTTTCAGAGGGCTAAAGAAAAACAATTTTGCTGTATTCATTAAAAGTATATATGAATCACCTATCATTGTTTGAGGACTTTCTCAAAGAAACACAAGGGAAACTGCATTCATTATATATAATTGTCAAAATCTGTAGGTAACGTATGGTTATTCGTAAAAGTATGGTTATTGGTAAAAAGGTACTTTTTGCACTTAGAAAAGATGAACACATAAACCATGTAAACCTTAGTTTATCAGATATAAATAAATCCAAACCAAATTAATCCCGTATTTAGAAACACACACAAAGTAGGAAAATGCAGGACATGGTATCAAGGTTATGCTCTATGAACATCCATATTTCCTGTCAGATAAGTCCCAATATTTTAGAAAGAGAATACAAGCTAGAAACTATACTCATGCAGAAAACACCGCCAACAATCTCAAATCATCCAAATGTCATAAAGTAGCAGAGTTCTATAACAGAAATATTTCTAAAAAAAACAAAAGTAAATTATGAAAAGACAGATAGTAGGAACAAGTCACTAGCACGGAAAGCTTACTTCCCAAACAATGTAAAGTGCTAATCATTCATGGAAAAATTTATTTAAGAAATTGGTTAAAGGATATGAACACATAGTGCAGTAAAAAACAAATACAAAATCTGACAAATATCTGACTCTTGGAAGACAAAACTGTCTCACAAACGCATAATTTTTTTTTAAGATGGCAACATGGGGGATAAAATGAAAACAAAATTCATATAGATATAAAATAAAGAGTAAAAATGCTATCAGGCAGGAAAATCTATAACAAATAAATGGTTTGGTGGCGCAACGGTTAAGCGTTTGGCTGTTAACCAAAAGGCTGATGGTTTGAATCCACCTAGCGGCTCTGTGAGAGAAAGACCTGGCAATCTGCTTCCATAAAGATTGCTGATGTTGTTGTTAGGTACCGTTGAATTGGTTCTGACCCATAGCGACACTATGTACAACAGAATGAAACACTGCCCGGTCCTGCGTCATCCTCACAATCATTGCTATATTTGAGCCCACTGTTGCAGCCACTGTGCCAATCCATCTCATCAAGGGTCTTCCTCTTTTTCACTGACCCTCTACTTTACCAAGCATGACATCCTTCTCCAGGGACTGGTCAGTCCTGATAAGATATCCAAAGTACCTGAAATGAAGTCTCACTATCCTCGTGTCTGAGAAGCACTCTGGCTGTACTTTTTCCAAGACAGATGTTTGTTCTTCTGGCAATCCACGGTATATTCAATACTCTTTGCTAACATCATAATTCAAAGGCATCAATTCTTCTTCAGTCTTCCTTATTACAGTCTAGAAAACCCATGGGGCAGTTCTACTAGATTGTTGTTGTTGTTGTTGTTAGGTGCCATTGAGTTGGTTCTGACTCACAGTGACATTATGTATAATAGAACGAAACACTGCCCAGTCCTGCGCAATCCTCACAATCGTTGCCATGCCTGAGCTCATTGTTGCAGCCACTGTGTCAATCCATCTAGTTGAGGGTCTTCCTCTTTTTTACTGACTCTGTACTTTCCCAAGCATGATGTCTTTATCCAGGAATTGGTCCCTCCCGATAACATGTCCAAAGTATGTATGACAGTGTCGTCATCCTCGCCTCTAAGGAGAATCTGGCTGCACCGCTTCCAAGACAGACTTTTCTTCTGGCAGTCCATGGTATATTCAATATTGTTCACCAACACCATAATTCAAATGCATCAAGTCTTCTCTGGCTTTTCCTTATTTGTTGTCCAGCTTTAGTATGCATATGAGGTGACTGAAAATACCACAGCTTGGGTCAGGCACACCGTAGTCCTCAAAGGGATTATCTTTGCTTTTTAACACTTTAAAAAGGTCTTTTGCAGCAGATTTGCCCAGTGCAATACATTGTTTGATTTTTTCACTGTTGCTTCCATGGGTGTTGACTGTAGATCTACGTAAAATGAAATCCCGAACAAATTCAATATTTCCTCCGTTTATCATGATGTTGCTTATTAGTTCAGTTGTGAGGATTTTTGTTTTCTTTCTGTTGAGGTGTAATCTATACTGAAGGCTGTGGTCTTTGATCTTCATCAGTAGATTACAACCTAGAAAACCCTGTGGGGCAACTGTACTCTGTCACATGGAGTCGTTATAAGTCATATTCAATTTGACAGCATCTAACAACAATTTTAAGTTAAAATGGCAAGAGCTATCATTTCTCAATTATTTAAGAATAGACAACTTGTTCAAAACATATCTTTAGAGAAAAACTTAGTATAACCTCCTTATACTTACCTGATAAAAAAATATTTACCAATTCACTTAGAAATCTGAGAGACTTGACAGCCACTGCCCGGAAAAAGAACACATTCAACCAAGTTTCGTGATCAAATACAGAATTTCATCACCTCAAAGTACAATGACTTCATATAAAATAGAATAGACGTAAACAAGAGTGAAGAAGTGATGTTTACCTCATTCCATGAGCCAAGTTCGTTTCAAAAACTGAAAATGTATTGACTGTGTCAGCAAATCTCAGGAGAAATTAGCCCTTATTTATCCTTCATACCTTTGTTTCCTCCCGTTAATGAGCTATTTTGATTGTCTGTCACAGAATAGGCTATGCTGACAGCTTAGACAGGGAATGAAAGCTAAGCATAACCCCTGGGCACAAAATCAAGTAAAAGAAACTATTTTATCTTAAGAGATGTCAATCGTCATCAACTGGTTTAACCAAAACAGTTTTAAGAAAGGGCAGAATTATGCTCAAGACATAATTCTGTGCATGGACAACAGCGGAGACTTGGTGGTGCAGTGGTTAAGCATTCCACTGCTAACCGAAAGGTCGGCAGTTAGAATCCACCAACTTCTCCTTGGAAACCCTATGGGGCAGTTCTAGTCTGTCCTATAGGGTCGCCATGAATTGGAATCGACTCGACAGCAGCAGATTAATACATTCTAGGAGAAGGGCCAGAGTGGGTGGGTCAAGAATCATGTAAGTGCATAGTTACAAGTCTCACTAAAGCAGTTCCAACAGAACCTCTACTGAGCAATATTTATTGATTATACTATACATACCTGAAAATAATGATATTTAAAATACTGTCTAGTTCACTGCAGTCGAAGTCATTAAGATTTTACTATTTCTATTGTTTACCAATTAGTAACCATCATATTTTAACCAAAGTATTAACCTCCAAAGGAAAAAAAAAAGATTTTATTGATGCTTTTATCTTGACAAGCAGGAGACATCTGAGGAATTTAGGATGTATATAAGGGTGACCAAGAAATAGCACAGTCTGGCTTTCATCTGGAATAATGACAATACAACAACATTTATTGAGTTCTCAGCAGGTACTGTACTAATCCTAGGAACAACTCCAAGAAAGGTACTATAGTTATTTCCATTTATAGTCTGGAAATTGAGGCCAGACAAGCATAATATTGTCCCAAGATTACAAGGAAAAAGCTGAAATTGAACTCAGGTTTACATGGCTACAGAATGGAGACCTTCTGCCACAGGGTATTGCAGCATCTCACTTAATTTTTATTATCAAAATGAGTTAGCACAAAAGAACTATATATGTATGTGTATGTGTGTGTGTGTGTGCGCGTGTGTGTGTGTATTCCAGAAGACGCAGTGGGATCTCATTTTAACAACTCATTTAAACACCGATGAAGATATTCCACAAGCTGTATCGTATCTCTCGCAATGCTTCAATTTCATGTAATACTAGAGATCATTATCTCTTTGGAAGATGAAACATATCTTACATACCTTTTGATTGCTACAGTTCATTAGAGCCTTGCATGTAGGAGCTAAACAACAAACAGGAATGAGACTACAAAGATCTCTGACATTACAGGGTTGACCTCTACGATGGCATATGTTTTATTCCCAATCATCAGAATAATCAAGCTCACTGCAATTTTAAGCTCATAAGGAATGAGCAGGAATCTTAACAGCTCTCTTCAGAGACATAACCCTAATATCTAGAAGAGTGCCTGATACATAACAGGAGTTTTCACAAATATTTTCAGAATGAATAAATATGCGGCATTATTATTTTTTCTTCATATTTATATAAACTATACTACCAAAACAAGCCATCGAAAATTCGATTATACACGTACAGTTACAAATTTTGCTCTTTTGGCCATTTCAAATTTCAAAGTAGCCTGGCAGCTTATTCCAGAAAGGTTAACTTTACATGAAACATGCAGCCTCCCATGCCTGTATTCCAACACTGTGTGTCTGCACAAGAACTCTAACTAAAATGACTGCCTTAGATGCAAAGCATCACAAAATATTTAAATGTGTATTTCTCCACAATGCTTCCTATATGGTTCCTTACAGTGGTACACTTTCACTGAAAAATTGCCATTGTGATTAATTTGTGTCATTATCACAAGTGACTAGCTATCAATTTAATTTATAACTAAGACTGACAAAAAAAGTATACATGGTACATCTCTTATTCATAGATGACATTAAAATTTGTTTTTAGATGAATGAAAGAGGCCTCCAATTCCATATAAAAACGTTTTCATTTGGCAAGAGAACACATTCTTTCATAGGTCATGTGGTCAATAAAAAATAGACTTTTCATAATTTAAAGTCACGCACTAAAAACAAAAATACAAGTAAGCTTTACTAAGCTCATCTTGTGCTAAGAATTTTTGTGTCTGTCCAAAGCAACCACGGGAAGCTGTAAGGCAGAGCTCCAACACATCAGGAGAAGTCATGAGGTGAGTCCTAAGTCAGAATTTAGCACCTTTAGCTCAATGAAAGCTAGAGACCTTCTAAACTAAAAATTTAATATAGAGTTTTAGCTCTTTTTGTATGTCCTTTTTAAGAAGGACAAATTTCAATTTAAGACTCAAGTTGAACCTACACAGGCTTAACATTTGAGATTTCTTTTAAAGTTAAAATGTACTGAATTTTCTATTATAATAGTATTCATCTTTCCATAATATATTTATAAATTTAAGGGATACAATGATGACTAATTTTTTTAAAGAGATTAAAAAATCAAACTTGTCTCACTCAAGTTACTGGATTAAAAAGGAGAATGAATTAATAACCACATTTTAGACCTGAGACAAAATCTAAACCTCCCCTAAATGGAACCACACCTCCAGAGGAAAACATAATTAATGTCAACCGTCTTATTCAAAAGTATTTTTATGTAGGAGTCCTGGTGGTGCAGTGGGTAAGAGCTAACCAAAAAGGCTGGCAGTTTGAATCCACCAGCTGCTCCTTGGAAACCCTATGGGGCAGTTCTACTCTGTCCTATAGGGTTGCTATGAGTTAGAGTTGACTCGAAGGCAGTGGGTTTGGGTTTGGTTTGGGTTACTTTTATGTAATACTGAAAGGTTCCAAGTGGGATGCATTGTAATTATTTGTTCCAAAATAGGGTAAGTGGAACTTACTAGTAGATGTTCAAAAGTTTGGGCCTTCAAAAATGATGTGACAAAGACTTTCTAAGAGATTTCTGTTAAATCTAATCAACGAGGTGTGAGCACTGTATCCAACTGGATAGGCAGTCAATCTCCTTTTCCATGGGATCTACTTTATCTGAGATGCTAAGAACTCCTATTCATCCGGATAACAGAATTTGGCTCTCTTCAGCTTTCTCATCCTATGCAGAAGTATTTTTCTGGAGAGGAAGAGTTGCAAAATGAAGAGTAAAATCCAATAATCCCTGTCTCCTAGTTCTTGTCCACTTACTCAAAATTTTAGATGAAGCCAGGAAGATTGCTCAGCACTACTCTGGTGATCTGACTGCCTATGGTAAGCCCTTTCTTCCAGATCAGTTGTAACTCTCCTCCTGAAGAAAGGGAAAGACCACGTCGGCTGAAGGCAGCGTCTTCCAATTGCTATTAGGGCAGTGTTTGGAGCTAATTATAAACATCTGCAATTTCTGAAAGAAAAGAAATATACAACAAACAAAAACAGCCTCCCTTCTAGAACAACTTATATAATGGCAATTAAAATATCTTTATAGACTTTTATAAGGGATTCAAGACAACATATATAAATTTCAAAAATATCTGAAGCGGTTAAGAATGTACTACCCCCATGGGACAATCAGGTTGTCAACATTCATACACAATGAAGGATACAGGGATTATATATATTCACACATTCACACTCACACACATATATATACACACATACTTCAAGAGAAGATTTATTTAAAGGGAAGAAATTTTTAAAAGGTAGAGTCAAAAGTGGTAGAACCATGTTCAATGAGAAAGAAAAGGCTTCTACATTAGCTATAAAAATAAAGAAAAGGGTATGCTGGCTATTTTTATGTTCCAAAAATAAGGACTAGGTTTCTCATACTGGGGACTGTTCTATGAATGGGATGCATTTTTAATATTTAGCAGTTAACATTCTTGTTTATGAAAATGTATAATAATATAAAAGATGGGAATGCATACATTAGGATCATAGCCATGCAAACAAAAAATTAAAAAAGGAAATACATCAAAAAGGCAGGAGACAAAGGATACTTTTTTTCTGTAGTTTCCTGTTTCTTTAATGTGCACATATTACTTTAACAACGCAGAAAATAATCTACTTTAATTTTTGAAAACTATCATATCTTCTGTAAAATACCAAAATTGTAGATCGAGAATCAATGTCAGTATGCTGATTCACAAGAGGGATTTAGCTTTTTCCATGGAAGTATGAATCTCTAAATTTTTTAATTCATAGAAACTCTAATTTTTTATCTCATACACTTAGAAAACTTCTGTAGTTAACAGGGTATTGATAAATGATAATTTATAATAAAAATATAACATGTCCAGTTAAGAAAAATTATATATACTTAGCTACATCTGTCTACCCTGATTATTTAAAAAACACACAAATAAGGCCGATAATATTTTGAACACTCACATATTTTGAGAGTCTGTAAGTTAGATTCAGAGGAATATGTATATGCGGCCAAGGGGGACACATTAAATACCAATTTTATAAAACTAGTAAACATTTGTTTGAAAGCTGGTATTTGGAGGTATACTCTTGCTACATACATTGGTTTCTGTGGAAGAATTGCTAATTCATTACACTGACTGAGAGACAATTATGGGCATGAAAATTATCTATCACAATGAAAGAAAACAAACCATAAATCCCTATATAAGAAAATCATAAATTACCTAACTAGGCCTCTAACAGACCTATTTGAAACCATATAGTTTATTTCCTTTGACTCAAGACTTTATAATATACTATATAATACTGACTGTACTCACTGCACTTCATTAGTTCATTCATTCACTGAAAGACTAAATTAACAGTCCAAAAAGTTTTAATTGATCTCCGTTTATCCAAAAGGTACAAGCATAGAAAGATAAACGAATTCATTATTCCTTCTACATACTCATTGTAATTATAACTTGATCTAAGTCAATCGTCTGTAGGCATACTTAACAGCATCTTATTTAGACCTAACAGAACCTTTAATGTTTTTGAGCTACTATAAATTACTTCGCAAGAAATTCTATAAAACAAAGTGAGGGTTGAAGGTATGGTAGATAAAGTACTCAATAACATTTAGGATGGCTGTCCTCCTCCCATCACCATAAGTAAATTTAATGCAAACTTTCATCACAGGACTTAAATCAGGCAAACTACTATCACAGCTACCATAGCAGTCATTATTCTTTAGTGTATGTGATCTTGGGATGTAGATACAGTAGCACATTTTTCATGCTGGACATTGAAGTCTTATATTAAAATGGCTCCACCTGTAAATTTTAATAACGTGACCTTAAACACTGTATACTACATCAATGATAGGTGTTTTGAGTGATTTCAAAAAGTAAAATTTATAAAAAACTGACTTTTAAATACAGAAGTAAATTAAAATTTATTCTGACTTCCTTTTCTATTAGGAATATTGTAAGTTAGCAATATTATTCTGGCTTTATATTTGTTATATTTATATCCAATTTGAGCCTATAATTTAGTTCATGTATAGGCTCTTATAAATGCAGATTATTTATGATGCTAGAAGTTTATGTTTCAGGATTTTTACAAATTTTCCTTCCTGGCAGTTTTCAACGTGTTATTCAAGTGTAAAGGAAATACGAAGTAAAATAAAGAATCCCTAAGAGAAGAGACAGGAGCCCTAGTGTGCAATGGTTAAGTACTCTGCTAATAACTGAAAGGTCAGCAGTTCAAACCCACCAGCTCCTCCTCAGGAGAAAAGACCTGGTGATCTGCTTCCTTGAAGATTACAGCCTAGGCAACCTATGGGGTAGTTCTACTTTGTCCTATAGGGTCGTTATGAGTCAGAACTGACTCAACGGCACACAACAACAACAAAGGAAGAGAGAACCTATCTTCTATTTCTCTACACATAATCAAGACGTTACAGATTTTTGGAATATAAATAAAGTTAAAAGGTTTGGAAAAGTATGCTATTACGTAATTCTCAGCATAGCTTCCTCACTAGACTTTAGTAGATTGATACTTCCATTAAAAAGTCTAATTAAGTAGAAAGTTACTAATAACAAACAAAAAGAACTGTTTCTCTCATTTAAACCCCAAAGTTGAACACAGTATCATTTTCTATAAATTTGATGAGGCATAAGGACATATTTTGAGAGTAGTGGGTACATAACAAATAAAAATTCAGTCTCTGATATCAGTAGTGACTATTTTAATAATATTGTTTTATTTATTTATTCCAAAAAGGTCAGAATATATTGTGATGAAAACAATAATTCTTGAATATTAATATATTTCTTTGTCTTCATACACAAGTACTTGATTTCTATTTAATTTGAATGAGTACTAGGCAGGTAGAAATTTTTTAAAAACTTTCTTTTTTAGCTGTACGTTATAAGCTCAATATTTTAATGTCTAACAGTGATTTTCAAAGAACATAAAGAATTATGATTCATAGAAATAAAAACCTGATAAATAGAAGAACTAGAAAAGATTGAGATGGGCTGAATGAATTAAACCAAAAGCTCAACAATTAAGCCAATTATCTACTTGTTGTTAGGTGCCATGGAGTTGATTTTGACTCATAGAGACCCCATGTGACACAGAGCAGAGCTGCCCATAGGATTTCTAGGCTATACTGTATTTTTACGCAAATTACGCATGACTTCTGCATTTGTTTGCTGGCCATGCCCTCCCCCAGTGAGGCACCCTATCAAGCACCACCATGCCAATCCGCTTCCACATATTGCTGTTCTTAAAAAAAACAAAAAACAAAAAAAACTAGCATAGTACACTTACAAAAACACCTCATGGGAGTAGGGTGTCAGCAAACAAACACAGAAGGTGTGTGTTATTTCTGTAAAATATGGTAATCTTTATGGAAGCGGATCTCTAGGTCTTTCTTCCATGGAGCCACGGTGTGGGTTCTAAGCACCAATCTTTCGGTTAGCAGCCTAGCGTTTAACTACTGCACCACCAGGGTTCCCTACAGTTTAATATAAGCTCAATTAAGCAAAGTGCTTAATATAAGTTAAGGAAAATATTCTTCTGTTGATCCAAAAGCATAGCAGTCATAAGGAATAAACATCATAACTACTAACAGTCATTCATTTTTTCAGACAGGCTTTTTAGAACATCTAATATACTAGGGAAATAGAACAAGATAGTTTCATCTAAGTTGAAAATGTTAAAAAGCTTCAGTACATCCACAAAACATTAATAAATTTGCTCACAGGTCTTTCAGAGATTTAGATGTTTTCCCCATATTAGCCAGAAATAATATACACAATTATGTTTCCTATAAATATTTTCCTAATGTTCTGAATTAATTCATAACATTTTATAACAAGGATATAGTATAGAGGTATGTAAATTAGTAAGTAAATATAATGACTACAAAACAACTTTGTTCATTGTTTCACACACAAATATACATATAGTGAAACAATAAAAAGTGTACCCAAGAAATAAATTTTTTTTTCATTCTCAGACTGTAAATTTATTTCACAGTCTAACCTTCCATAACAGATCATGAATTTTTTTTTATAATAGTAGTTCAACAACCTATATGATTTTGGAATAGAACAACAAATTCACATCGTTTCAAATTATATAATTTTATTATTATTAAGAGAAACTTGACAAAAATACTCTAAAAAGTATTTTATTTTATGAATATAAAATATTGACTGGCTATTACTATTCATTTTCTTTTTTGTTTACACAATGTCATTATATTACAGCCCAGCAAATTTACATAAAGAACATTTAAATAGAAGGCATTCTGCTAACAAAATAATGAAAAATAATATAAAACTAGTGAACATTAAAAAAATGTATTTTTCTAATTTTAAATCTGAAAAACAAACTGTGTATTACAAAGCTACAAGACATACACAAGTAAATGCTATAATATATAGTATGCCCTACTTTGATGTAAAATACATTCTTTTCTGTGCTTAATGGAATTATTTTGCTTTTTGAAGATGTGCAAAAAAACATTTTAAGAGGAAAGAGTGTTTACCTCCCTAAAAATGGACATACGCCATTACGGTAACAGACATATAAAACATGTTCATGAAACATTCCAAATAAAATGACAAAGAACATATGAATTTTAACAGTTCAGAATCTGACTAATCATCATCATCATCATCATCACTATTGCTACTGTGAGTCATAATCCACTCCCTGTAGACCTGAATTTTCTGTAAGCATGGTAAAGGAAAAAAGAAGCACAAAGATTAGTTAAGCATGGCAAACTGCCTGGAAAACATGTAAAATTATGAAATGTTCAAGGAGTCAGAATAATTTTGAAGCAAATTTTTCAGCTGTGACTGGGGCTGTAATTATAGATGTAATATTCCATAACTTAACAAATCTAAGACTGAAATCCAATGTCTGGTTCAATTCAATGTATGAAATCAATAGTTTGATGATACCCATAAGGTATTCTATGTATACATTAAAATTACCATTCTATATCTGTAGCAGGTAACTTTGACTACTAGCAAGGCACTATAATAATGTACTACTTTCTAAAGAGAAGGGGTCACAATGAAAAAGTACATTTTATATTTAATTATTATATATTGGCATATGTAATTTAGTGAAAATAGAGCACTTTTTTAGAAAAGGAGAAACATGTGAAGTATTAAACATTTTCTAGGGGTACCATCATCAAATCCTTTAGGTTAAATATAGGCTGATGAGATTTTAAATCCATGTCATCAACTTCTTTTCCATAGCACTGATATTCATAAATTTTAAAGTTTTTCCTAATATTATAATAGGGTTTTGATTCAAAAAAGCACCATTACCACCAAAACAACAAACCACTTCTTACACATGTAAGAGAGTAATGCTAACCACAAGCGTCTGGTGAATTCCTACAGGCTTTCCAGCTAGTGTGATGTTTAACGATGTTTTTGTTGAAACACAAGTAATGGTTGCCACGAATTGAGAGTTTTTAGTCAATGAAATATCTCTTTTAGGAATTAATGTCAAGACTGGTCTAATAAAAATAATATACATATATAAAAATATATAGTCAAGAGTTATAATCATTGACCCTCAAAGTTTAAAGCTTCAGAAAACAATTAATGAAGGTGTGGAACAATCAAGTTATCAACCTATGAGAAATCTTTGGTATTTTCAAAGGTTCCTTATATGTTATAATCTGTTCCCTAATAATCAATCTTTTTCCCTAAAAATCAGAACACATTTCTAAACTCTCCTCATCCATACTTCCTACTAAGTTTATTAAAATAGCTTCTCAAGAATTATTTTTAGTTTTTTAAAAGTTGAGTTGAAAACTATTCAACTTTCAGTCTACTGAAATGTTCAGAGCATGTTAATTGTGCTCTAAGGAGGCACAGCAGATATTAGGTAGGAAAATATGCTCTGTAATATTAGCCATAGGTGAATCCTGCAACTTATCTATTTTCCAAAGAATGCTATAATGTCATTGTAGAGGTTGCACTCATGTTCTTTAGAGCACAACCTCTCACTAGATTGCTTGTTTATCACAATATACAATTATTCTGATGCTTTAAACACAGTACAAAATCCCTTTACTAAATATTGCACATTAACTCTATGGTTACATTTTACTATAATGAAGATTTAGATTTAGAAAGATTTAGAAGTAAAATTCTTTTATGTAAAATATACATGTAGTAGGTGAAATATTAAAGTTTTAATCTTTACCCTGATCACTTTAAACATGAAAATACTTCAAAATATCAAGGCTATAAAGGAAGGACCACATCTTCACAGTTTCATATTACCATGAAGATTTTCAAGTTTATATAACGTAACGACTCTTTGTTTTCAAACAAATGATTTTAAAAATTCCATTTGCCAAGTAAGAAAGTTGTCTAAATAGTAAAATATTCTATACCTTTGAACTGTCATTCTAAAAGCTAACTTTTCTTAGTAAAAGAAGTTGGTTTGAATGTGAACTACTTATCATATTCCACAAAGTTTTTATATATAGACAACACAAGAATAAAGCAGGAAAAGGGTCATGGCCATTGGAGCACCTTTAAAAGAAATCTCTTCAAAGTCTAAGAACCCAAGAATAATTGGCAATACTAGTGGTCCTGACTTTTTCTGGTTCCTCGTGCAAGCCTAATTTGACATGAGGATTATATCTGTTACAGAAGCTACTAGTGGATGGATGCACAGAAAGAAGTACTCCAAACATAAGTACCACCAACAGTGAGGGTACATAAAACACAATGACTTTTAACAAATCTAGCAAGTCCAGCACAGAACTAAGAATACCCTATAAAAACATCAGATTCACTAACCTAAATAAAAAATTACCAATATAAAAGCTTTTCTTTGTATTGAAAATACTTAAACGGCTGTACGTAGTTTGTAAATTTTAAGACTAAAATCTACTGTTGGCTTTCACTTGCAAAGTCATGCATTAACTGTTTTCATATCAAACTTTTTGATGCCTGTAAAAAAGAAAAAAAAAATCCTATAGTAAATAAATGTAGATTACCTGAGTAAATATAAGAAACTTATAAACAGAATTAGGCAAATCACATAATATCGCAAACAATGTATTTAAAGCATTACATAACTACTTAAAAAAAAGTCTAACTTGACTAAATTAACCTTAATTTATAAGATCTTTCTTCACCTGTAACATCTGATTTCCAGTACCATCCCTCAACCTGTAAGGTCTGATGACTCCATCTTCATTAAAGAACCGAGGCGGTCGCAGACTCTCCACTTCACCAGAAGTCTCTGTAGCTCTAGAGGGGAAAAAAAGAATAATAACTTGATTTTAAAATGATTAAAAACTCATAAATGCAGCATAAAAAGCACCTACTAAAAAGGATCTTCTTTGCGATAAAATAAGATTACAACACATCTTTAGTTTTCTTTTACTGTGGTAAAATATATAGAACAAAACTTGCCATTTAAGCTATTTTCATGTACAATTCAGTGACACTTATCATGCTGGGCAACCATCACCACTATTGTTTCCAAATTTTTAAATCACCATTAACAGAAACTAAGTGCCCCTTAAACAATAACTTCCCTTCTCCCGCCCCACCCCCACTCCACCAGCCCCTGGTAATCACTTAATAAACTTTGGTGTCTATGCATTTGACTACTCTAGATATTTCACATAAGTGGGATCATAAAATATTTGACCTGTGTCTAACTTAATTTCACTCAGAATGTTTGCAGGGTTCATCCATGTCATAGCATGTTTCAGAACTTTTTCTTTATGGCTGAATAATATTTCATTGTATGGCTATACCATATTTTGTGTATACATTCATCTATTAACAGATGTATAGTATAGCTATACAACGTGTTGTTTCCACCTTTTTGATGCAATAAACACTGGTGTACAAAGTGTATGTTTGCATCACTGCTTTTAAGTCTTTTGGGTACATATATACCTAGGAGTGGAATTGCTGGGTAATATCGTAATTCTATGTTTAACTTTCTGAGGAACCTCGAAACTGTTTTCCACAGCATGTGCACCATTTTACAATCCCACCAGCAATACATGAGGGCTCCGATTTCTCTACATCCTCGTCAACATTTGTTGTTTTCTGTCTTTCTGGTAACAGCCATTCCTCATGGAGGTGAAGTGGTATCTCACTGTGATTTCGATTTGCACTTCTCTGATGAGTAATGGGAGCCCTGGTGGTACAGTGGTTAAGAGCTTGGCTGCTAACCAAAAAGGTTGGCTGTTCAAATCCACCAGCCGGTCCTTGGAAACATTATGGGACAGTTCTACTCTGTCCTATAGGGTCACTATGGGTTGGAATTGACTCTACAGCAATGGGTAATGACTAATGTCACTACTGAACATCTTTTCATGTGCTTAGTGACCATTTGTATATCTTCTTTGGTGAAATGTCTATTCGAATCCATGTCCATTTTTTGACTGGGATGTTCGTCTTTTTGTTGTAGGAGTTCTTTATACAGTCTGGATATTATATCTTATCAGGTACATGGTCCCTCAAAATTTTCTCCCTATCTGTAGACCGTCTTTTTGCTTTGTTAATAAATTCTTCTGAAGCACAAAAGTTTTTAATTTTGATGAAGTCCAATGTATCTATTTTGTCTTTTCTTGCTTACGCTTTTGGTGCTGTATCTAAGAATACATTGACAAAAACTAGGTCCCAAAGCATTACCCCTATGTTTTGTCTTAGGTTTTAGTTGATCCATTTTAATTTTCACATATGGTATGAAGTATGGATCCAGCTTCATTCTTTTGCATGTCAAAATAAAGTTGTCCCAGAACCCTTTATTGAAGAGATTATTCTTTTCCTGATGAACAGATCTAAGATGCTTGTTGAAAAATCAACTGACCATAATGTATGGGTATAATTTCTGGGCTCTCAATTCTGTTCCATTAGTCTATATGTCTATCATCATACCAGTAGCAAACTGTTTTGATTACTGTAGTTTTAGAGTATGTTTTGAAATCACTAAGTGTGAGTCCTCTTAATTTGTTCTTTTCCAAGACTGCTTTGGCTATTTGAAGCCCCGTGCAGTTCCATATAAATTTGAGGATTGGTGTTTCCATTTCTGCAAAGAAGGCTGTTGGAAACATGATAGGGATCGTGTTGAATCTGCAGATCACTTTGGGGAGTACTGACATCTTAACAATATAAAGTCTTTCAATCCATGAACACAGACTGTCCTGCCATTTATTTAGGTTTTCTTTAATTTCCTTCATAGTTTTCAGCACACGTCTTTAACCTCTGTGGTTAAATTTATAGGAATTTTATTTTAAATGCTATTATAAACAGAATTATTTCCTTAATTCCCTTTTCAGATTGCTCATAGCTCTTGTATAAAAACCCAACTGATTTTTGTGTGTTGATCTTGGTTGCGCCCTGCCACTATGCTGATTCATCTATTAGCTCTACTAACTTTCTTGTGGATTCTTTGGCATTTTGTATATATATAGGACCATGTTATCTGTGAAAGGGATAGCTTTACTTCTTCCTTTCCAATTTGGATACTTTTATTTCTTTTTCTTGTCTAACTTCTCTGGCTAGAGGACATCCATTACAATATTGAATACCAGGGGTGAGGGCGGGCGTCCTTGTCTTGTTTCCTGATCTTTAGGGGAAAGCTCTGTCTTTCTTCATTGAGTATGATGTTAGCTATGATTTTTCATAAATGTCCTTTATCATATTGAGGAATTCCTCTTCTACTCCTAGCCTGTTGAGTGTTTTTATCATGAAAGGGTGCTGAATTTTGTAAAATGCCTTCTCTGTGCTGATTGAGATGATCCTGTGTTTTTTTCCTTTGTTCCATAAATGTGGTGTTAAATTGGTTGATTCATTTCCTAATGATGCATTCCTGGGATAAATCCAATTTGATCTGATGAATAACCTTTTAATATGCTGTTGGATTCATTTGCTAGTGTCTTGTCTAGGATTTTTATATCTATATTCATACAGGACATTGGTCTGTAGTTTTCTTTACTTGTGCTATCTTTATTCTACCTTGGTAGCAGGGTAATGTTACCTTCATATAATGAATTAGGAACTGTTCCCTCCTCTTCTATTTTTTGGATGAATTTAAGAATGACTGGTGTCACTTCTTCTATCAATGTTTGGTAGAACTGTTTTACAACCTAGCACATGGTCTACCTGGAGAATGACTCATCACACTGCAGAAAAAGGTGTATTATTCTGTTGTTGGGTGGATGTTCTATATATGTCAGTTAGGTCTAATTGGTTTACAGTGTTGCTCAAGTACTTTAATTCCTTACTAATCTTCCTTCCAGATGTTCTGTCCAATATTGAAAGTGATGTACTGAAGTCTTCAACTACTATTGTAGCACTCTCCATTACTCCCTGCAGTTCTGTCAGTTTTTGATTCATATATTTTGGGGCTCTGATGTTAGGTATTGTCATGGTTTGAATTATGTCCCCCAAAAAATGTGTGTATCAATTGGGCTGGGCCATGATTCCTAGAACTGTGTGGTTGGCCTCCATTTTGTGATTGTAATTTTATGTTGAAGAGGATTAGGGTGGGAGTGTAACACCACTTTTACCCAGGTCACATCCAATGTAAAGGGAGTTTCCCTGGGGTGTGGCCTGCACCACCTTTTATCTCTCAAGAGATAAAAGGAAAAGGGAAGCAAGCAGAGAGTTGGGGACCTCATACCATCAAGAAAGCAGTGCTGGGAGCAGAGCTTGTCCTTTGGACCGGGGTCCCTGCACAGAGAAGCCCCTAGTCCGGGCGAACACTGAAGAGAAGAAGGCTGACAGAGAGAAACAGCCTTCCCCTGGAGCTGACGCCCTGAATTTGGACTTTTAGCCTACTTTAACTGTGAGGAAATAAATTTCTCTTCGTTAAAACCATTCACTTGTCGTGTTTTGTGTTACAGCAGCACTAGACGACTAAGACAGGTGTATATATACTTATAATCGTTATATCTTTCTTGATGAATTGACCTTTTCATCATTATATGATGTCCTTCTTTGTCTCATAACAAACTTTGACTTAAAACATATTTTGTCTGATACCAACACCAGCTTGCTTTTAGTTACTATTTGCAATGGATTACTCTTTCCCATCCTTTCAGTTTTAGCCTACTTGTGTCTTTGAGCTAAGATGTGTCTCTTGTTGACAGTATATGGATGGACCATGCTTTTTTATCCATCCTGCCACTCTCTGCCTTCTGCTTGGAGCCTTGGATCTACTTACATTTAAGGTAATCACCAATAAGAAGAACTTCTGTCATTTTGCTAAACAATTTTTGGGTGTCTTATACTTTTTTTCTCCCTCATTTCCACCAATGTTGTCATCATTTGTGTTTAGTTGATTTTTTATATTGAACCCTTTAGATTTCCTTCTTTTTTACCTTCTGTGGTTGGCAGTTTCAGAGTCTACCCAGAGGTGCCTTGGAAGAAAGGCCTGGTGATCTACTTCTGAAAAATCAGCCACTGAAAACCCTATGGAGAACAGTTCTACTCTGACACACATGGGATCTCCCTGAGTCATGGTCAACTTGATGGTAACCCGTTTGTCTTCTGTTTTTTTGATATATTTTTCAGATATTTTCTTTGTGGTTACCATGAAGATTACATTTAACATCTTAAATTTACAATAACCTACTTTAACTTGATACTAACTGTCATGGTTTGAATTATGTCCCCCAAAAAATGTGTGCATCAATTTGGCTAGGCCATGATTCCTGGTACTGTGTGATTTTCCTGTATGTTGTAAACCTGCCTTTATGATGTTAAAGAGGGAGGATGGGTGGCAGTTGTGTTAGTGAGGCAGGACCCAATCTACAAGACTGGATTATGTCCTGAGGCAATCTCTTGAGATATAAAAGACAGAAATGAGCAGAGAGACAGGGGGACCTCATACCATCAAGAAAGCTGTGCCAGGAGCAGAGCGTGTCCTTTGGACAGGGGTCCCTGTGCCGAGAAGCTCCTAGTCTGGGGGAACACTGATGAGAAGGCCGAGAGAGAGAAAGCCTTCCCCTGGAGCTGATACCCTGAATTTGGACTTTTAGCCTACTTTGACTATGAGGAAATAAACTTATTTTCGTGAAAACCATCCACTTGTGGTATTTCTGTTGTAGCAGCACTAGATGACTAACACACTAACTTAATAACTTTAGTAACATACAAAAACTCTATTCCTGTATCACTCCTCCTCCTTCCAGCCGTCTTGCTGTTATCACCAATTACGTCTTTATATTTCATGTGCCCATTAACATAAATTTATACTTATTTCTCATGCATTTGCCATTATAAAGCTATAGAACATAACTAGTTATCGACTGAAAATACCATAAAAGTGGCCCTTTAATTTGTCCATGACATTACCTTTACTGAATATTGCTTTTTCCCCCTATATACAGCTTCAAGTAGCTCATCTAGTCTCTTCTTCTTTCCATATGAAGAACTCCCTTTGGAACTTCTTACAAGGCAGGTCTGGTCATAATAATTCCCTCAGCTTTTGTTTATGTGAGAAAGTCTTAAGAATTTCACCCTCATTTTTGAAGGACATTTTTGCCAGATAAAGACTTCTTGGTTGGCAGTTCTTTCCTTCTGCATTCTATATATGTCATTCCATTGTTTTCTGGCCTCAGAAGTTTCTCAGGAGCAATCAACATTTAACCTTACTGAGGATCCCTTGTATGTGATACTCCCACTTCTCTCTTGATGCTTCCAGGATTCTCTCTTTATCTTTGGTTTTCAAGAGTTTGATTAAAATGTGTCTTGGTATGGAGCTCTTTGGATTTATTCTACTTGGAGTTTTGTTAAGCCTTCTGGATCTGCAGTTTCAAGACACTGATTGAGCTTTCGCTCAGATGCTATAACCGTTTGACTCATTTCCAGAATTCTGAGTCCATTAGTTCCACCATATTATTATTATTTTTTTCTTCGATTTTTGTTGTGGGAGGATGGGAACATTCAGCTGCTTATGCAGCCATCTTGTCACTTCTCAGAACAATAGTACTACATGTAAATATATGATTTTGATCATTTTACTGTCTATGGTAAGAGAATACGTTTTAAAGAAATACACACTGAAATATTTAGGGGTAAAGGGGTCACATGTCTGCAACTTTCTCTCAAGCAGCTTGAAAATGATGATGATGATGTGCTTGTATGTGCTTATGTGTGCCTACACACACAGAGCTGTGCACAAATGTGGTGAACGTTAACATTTGGGAAATCTGGGAAAAGGATCTATGAGAAGTCTTTGTGATATTCTTGTATCTCTTCTGTAAGTCTGATATTAATTTGAAATTAAAAAAAGGAAAATGAAGCTATATACCACTTATAACAGGACACAATATTCCACAGAATAGTTGTATCATAATTTAATCAGCCATCTTTTAATGAAAATGGGTATTTTTAGCTGATAATAACTTTATTGTAGTTTTGTTGTATATTTGTCTAATTACTTCCTTAAGAGAAATATCTAAAAGTAGAATCACTGCATCAAAACACACATGTTGTTTTTCTGGTTACTAGCTTTAAATATAAAAAACAAAACTGCTTGGTTAACTGCCAGATAATGTTGGAAAAGGTGAAGTCTGAAATTTTGTAGCTATTTTTTTTCTTTTAATAATTTTAGATCCTTAGAACAAAAGATTTTTTAAATATACAGTCTATTTTACTATGAATAAATCTTTACTATAAATCTTTCCATGTTTTTATTATTTACTCAACATTTAATTAACTACATTTTATATAAATGGAAGGTAATTCTAGCAGCTCTGAGCAGAAGTTTGCATAGATCTCTCCATGTTTCAATGACTTTTAAGCTTTTCTGATGACTCTGACTGATGACTATGACTCAGCACATTATATTTATGAAACTAAAGTTACAGGTAGAAAAGAATGATCCCTTTTTCCCCCATTTTAATTCTAAATAGTAAAAGTGGAAACATCCAATTATGGTAAGCAGTATCAAGCACTGTCTTAAGAGGAGCAGTGTGTACAATGACAATACTTAACCTGTCAGAGCAGAAAGCAAGAGAAAATATGTAAGGAAAACATAAGGGAGCTATCCACTCACTTAACTAAGTTATGGCTCATTAACATGAATTTAATCATTTATCATATGTGCTGCAAATACCTAAGGCAGAGACAATTTCAGTCTTAAACTAAATTTAACCTGGAGGAAGAGAGAACATGTTTTAAAATTACTTGCACAAAAAAAGAAAAATAGTGGGGATGGATACAAAAGTTTTGTAACAAAATAACATAATAAAGGAAGGGTGAAGACAATCTGAGTTTTAACTGAGGAATATAAAATGCCATTATTTCTTTAAAAAAGAAGACAATATTATATATGCTAATTTTTATAACTGACATATAGCACTACACTACATAATTATTTCGATCAAGATAACAAAAGCTTGACTAACTTGCCAAACATTTCCTGCCAAGGCTGCTGGGAATGAATGATGATTGAAAGAAGATGCTATACACAATACTGGGGAAGCCAGCAAAGGTCATGGAAGCTCCACAGACACAACCAAACTCCCCGAGGGACTAAATTACTGGGCTGAGGGCTGTGGGGACCATGGTCTTGGGGAACATCTAGCTCAACTGGCATAGCACAGTTTATAAAGACAATGTTCTACATTCTACCTTGGTGAGTAGCGTCTGGGGTCTTAAAAGCCTGTGAGCAGCCATCTAAGATACTCCACTGGTCTCACCCCTTCAGGAGCAAGGGAGAATGAAGAGAACAGGATACAAGGAAAGATTAGTCCAAAGGACTAATGGACCTCAACTACCATGGCCTCCACCAGACTAAGTCCAGTACAACTAGATGGTGCCTGGCTACTACCACTGACTGCTCTGACCGGGATCACAACAGAGGGTCCCAGACAGAGCTGGAGAAAAACGTAGAACAAAATTCTAACTCAAAAACAAAGACCAGACTTACTGGCCTGACAGAGACTGGAGAAACCCCGAGAGTATGGCCCTCTTTTAGCTCAGTAATGAACTCACTTCCAAGGTTCACCGTTCAGCCAAAGATTAGACAGTCCGATAAAACAAGACTCATGGGGCACAACAGTCCAGAGACAAGGACTAGAAGGTGGAAGGGACAGGAAAGCTGGTAATAGGGAACTCAAGGTTGAGAAGGGACAGTGTTGACATGTTGTGAGGTTGTTAACCACTGTCATAAAACAGTATGTGTACTGTTTAATGAGAGACTATTGTTCTGTAAAACATCATCTAAAGTACAATTTAAAAAAAAAGATGCTATAAAGTTGAAATCATATACTGGCTGCAAATTAAAAAATAAAAGGAACTGGGAAGGTCATACGCAACCTGTCATATTATAGTGGTCATAACAAACTGCCCTAAAGCTAATGGCAGATTTGTTTCATTTCTTGTGGCTCAAGCATTTTACTCATATCTTATATCAAATAGAATTTACCTTTTTATTCCCTGAAATGTACTGCTAGCCATGTCTATGATACCTCCAGTTGGCCTTGCCACCGCTCCAACTAACCCTTTCCCAACACCTTTAAAGAAACCAGCTGCTCCTTCTTTCTGAGCTCCTAGAAAGAAAGAAAAAGATAAAGTTTTAAACAAATGAAAACTGAAACAACTTGTGAAGGAATTGGTTATATCATCTGAAAGAACTACTATACTTACCTTTGATTGGTTTTGTCACAATTCCTGTTATGCCACTTACAAAGCCCTATAGGGAGAGCACAATTGAAAATTTTTAATATTCTTACGTGACGCCTTGGTGAACCAAGTCTGGCTTACACACACAAAAAAGAGATCTGCTTCCTAGAGATACCATAGAAACCAACATATTTCCTCGGTATTTTATTTAAACAGAAAGCTTTTAGAGGCTACTGATATATTTTATAAATGCCACCACCAACTCTCCTCTAACATCCAAATAATACTTTAAGGAGTGGCAGTTATATGTCTATTTTCTTTATTTGTAGATGAGGGTTTAAAAGGTACTATATAAAATGTTCACAACCCCGTGAAGCATCTTACAGAAACTAAGCCTTTTCCTCCACGAGTGATGCCTTCTCTAAGACCAGCTGGCTGCTTGTTCATGGCTTCTCTTCTCTTCTGCTGGTAGTCTTCATCCATAGTCATAGCTGCTACTCCTTTTGCCATAGCACTGGTGATTTTGGAGGCAGCACCAGCTAATCCACCTAGTAGAAATTTTAGTATCTTTAGTAAAAGTATATCATCACTTTCTAACACAGTAATACTTGGTAGTCACTATGTTCTTACCAACAGCTCCACCAACTAGTGCCTTAAGTCCTAGTGCCATTCCCTCCACAAACTCTTCAGGGCCCTGGATGGCTCCCTGAAGGGTCAAAAAGAACATGAGGTTATATTTACTTTTAAAGGTGAACTTATCAACATAAATGAGGAAAGTAGTTGTGACAAAAAGGATGAAGACATCACAGAGGAAGTGACGCTGGCAAAAACTTCAATTAAAGGAATTCTCAGAGATATTTCATGACATTGAAAGCACATAGAATAAAATGTTGGACCCTGATCCAAACTTAGAAAGGGGTATGACAATTCACCAAAAAGTGTAGAAAAGATGCTTGCTCCATATTGTAAGTTATATGATATGAAGGCAAACATAGTTCAAACTACTCTTGATAAGTTTTAAAAAGAAATAAAACTCTAATTCTCAATGTTTCTAACATTTTATATTACAGTATAATAAATACTGGAGCCCTGGTGGCTCAGTGGTTAAGAGCTTGGCTACTAACCAAGAGGCTGACAGTTTGAATCCACCAGCTGCTCCTTGGAAACCCCACAGGGCAAATCTACTCTGTCCTATAGGGTTGCTATAAGTCAGAATCAACTTGATGGCAGTGGGTTTTTCTTATAATAAGTATTAGTTTTACTATATTTTTATTACCCTATATATTTATAACTGACAGTAAGAGAGTTTTTAATGTTTTGGCAGAAAGTTTATAAGGGTCACAAAACAATCAAATTTTCCCATCAGTTACTAAGATTACTTCGCACAGTTGCAACTTGCATGGTTATTTTTATGGTTTCACACTACTGTGCAAAGCAAGACTGCCTATAGATAGTGACCTTCCTTCTTCTATAATCTGAAGTCATCTTTTAAAATCCAATACAACATTTACACTTCTGTATATCTTAGCAAAATCTTAAGTTTAAATTTTGAGGGAAAAGGATTAAATTATAAAAAACCCAATACCTCTTACCCTTGCTGCAAAATAATCATCTTTTGTGTGTTTCTCTAAATCTATTTACACTCAAGTTAACATTAGGAATGCATTATCTAATCAAAAGTATTAGTGTGATATATTGTACAACACAAGGATAACTATTTTACCTGATAAGGTTCGTAAAAAAATGCTTCTACACCTTCGGAAAATTCTCTAATTAAGCCAAAGGGATTTCCCAAAACGTCAAGTCCAAGAATGAGTACATACATTTGCTTAATGGCCTAAAAAAAAAAGTATGAACATTAATCAATTTAGAAAATCAGATCTAATGTTTCTTTCTTATTCTGAAGGTTACTCCATACACACATGCAGTTTTTTCAGGTTAACAACCTTATCACCAATTTAACACCTAAACCTTTTTACCTTATTCTTGAAAATTCTAAAATATATATTAAAAAAAAAAAAAAAAAAACAATTTGGTATTATAACATATTAGAGATAAAATGACATGATACTTAAATAAAATTTTAGAATATTTAAAATGGTTTCACATTTACAATTATGTGTGACTGCTACTGTTACCACCACTTTACAGACTGGAGAAATATATATGTCAAATGACGCCCAAGGTTACAGAGTGAGCAAATGGCAAAACCGAGATCCAAACCCAGATCTCTTCAGTCATGCTCAGGCATCTGCCCAGTATACCACAGCTGCCTCAGATGCTCCATAAGTTATAAAATACAACAGTCTTTCTAGAAGTGGAAACAAAATCCACTAAAATAATATAGTTAGATGACTAAATAACTCAGTTACATTAAAAACACCCTGTGTTTACCAGTTACCAATTAATAATTTCCATTGAATCCATTTTTAAAATTCAAACTAAGTGTGGTGAATTACTTAGTTAATATTTTATTTAAAGATATATACTTATGTCTAGCACACTGATCCATACAAAATTTCTGGAAACGGCTAAAATATATAAGGCAAAAAATTGAAATACTGATTAGGCTCAATTTCTTTCCACAATTCTGAGGAAAAAATATGTCTTCAAATTTTGAAAATAGCTATCTATTTCCTTGCCAAACTACAGTATAGATGTACACATACATAAGGTTTCACTAGTCTCTAATACGCTGTCCCCTTGTGTAAGACAATCTCAGACAAACCTGTTTCGAATAATGTCTTAATACTTCAGACTGCAGTTCAGGTGTTGTATGGAACTGATAGTTGAGTTCAAAAAATGCAAGCCTGAAAAAAAATGTAAGATGTACGAATACAAAAACATATAAATTGGGGGGAAGGGGGAGAGAGGAGCAGAGAGAAGAGAGAATATGCTAATGAATGTTTTATTTTCTTTAGAACTTTTTTCTAGAAATCTTTTCCTTCTAATACATTTTCCCAGATCAGTAAGAAAATTTACTCTTTCACATACATCTCTGAACGTTTTAGTCAAAGAACCCTCTTGAGAATCTGACAGAAGTTATAGATCTTCTACTCAGAAAAACCACAGACATACACAAATTTTCACATAATTTAGGGGCTTCAGAGACCCCTGATTCTCATTCATGGGCCACTAGAACAGTATTTTCCAGCTTGGTCCTATCATAGCCGATTCAGAAAATGCTTTACAAGCTGAGCTAAATGGAAGAGGCTATTCAACATCGGCCATGGTACAGTTACTACAGGCCCTGCCTGACTGTCTCGACAGCTGGGAAATAAAGATTGGTGTACTTATAACCCATTCACAGCATATCCCTGACCCTCTAATTGGAAAACTCTATGCTACAGAGTACAAGGACTACAAAATTAGAAATCTTATCCTATTCCCGGTGACTTCAAACCTAATTTGACTGTTAACTAACTTTATCTATGTTTAGTTATCTCATGATTCATTAATTCTTACTACTGTTCTTAATACTCAGTTCTAGATATTACTTGAAAAGATTACTCTTCTGTACAATCTCCACTTAGACTGAGTCTTTTTGGTCAGATATTCTAATAGTTTCTTTTATGACCCACATTAAAATGTAAATTTTTTACTATTAACATTGAACAGATCCCTTCACTTCCTCTATTACTGTATTCATTCTGTTCTTCTAGTCATATATGCTTGAAGAGTCTCCATCCTATTGGCTCCTAAGCTGCATCCTTCAGACACTACATCTTTGGGTGTCACAGACATTTTCTTAGAAATCTTTCCCGAGGCCAGAAAAGTAGAATCCTTATATTATGCACAAACTTCCATGGTCCATGTGCCTCTTTTTTAAGAAAGTTAATTAACAAGTATTCTATTATCTAGCAGTTAAGAGTTAATAGAAAATACGCTCAGTGTTATTTAGACTGTATTCTATTTAAGGGCAAACACCATATTTCTTGCAATGTAGTTTACACATTTTTTCAATTACAAAATTTTTAGATAAATACAAAATGTACTTTTCATCAATATTATAGACCTGAGTATAAAACCTACTTAAAAACTACATCTTGGACATCTGTTAGAGTGGCGCCAATACTCTTCAGCAACAGATTTAAGGAATGAACTGGAATCAGCCCTCCACCTTGGTTTGAGTCTTTAGCTTCTTCTCTACCGGAGCTCAGGGAAACACTTAAATGTAACTAAAGAGATAAAGAGACAAATATTTAAAAGCATTTTCTTCATAGTGACAATTTTAATATTTTTAAAATCAATTTCATTTTAAATTCACTAAACCACAAATAAGATATCAAATTTATATCGATTATGCCAAAAATAGTAAGTGGAAAGTTAAAGGAATTTAAAATCCAAAATGGCTTATTTAAATTATGAAATTCAACAATTTAAGATTACATATTTCATTCAGTACCATTTTTTTGTAAGATTAGAAAAATATAAATTTTTATACACTTGTTAATAACATTAATAATCTAGAAGTTGAAGTTGTCGAAAATAACTCAAATATCTCAAATTTTGTTTCAACTTGTGAAATTAAGTTAATATGGTGAAGCTAGCTAAAAAATATTTTTGTATTGCAAACACATATTGTATATATGTTTGTGTAGTAGTTTTACTCAAATTACGAAAGTGACAGAAATTTTTCATTAAGAACTACTGTATTTTTACACAAATAACATGTAACTTCTTATGTTTACCAACCATGCCCTCCCTCCTCGAGGAATTTTCGTTAAGTGCTATGATAATTTTTTTTTTACAGTGAAATGTAAAAAAAAAATGGGCATAGTGGCGCTTATGAAAATACCTCAAGGTGGGAGGGCATGGTTGGCAAACAAAAGTAGAAGGTGCACATTGTAACAGTAACACACATCATATAAACAATTCTGAAAACTGTCACCAGCTAAAAAGAAAATGAGGGTAAAATACTATTACGTCAAAATATAAATATATAAACACATGTTGTATGTGGCTCCATTATTATTTTCATATGATGAACATTGATTACAAAGAAAAAAAATTTAAAGGACCATTCATTTGTTATGTATCATTATTTGTAATGGTTATAGTAATTTACTTTTTTATTGTTGTAAAAATATATAACACAACATTTGCTAATTCAACATTTTTCCCATATATAATTTAATGATATCAATTATATTCTTTTAAAGAATATAATTTAAACGTTCAGGGACCAGTCCCTGGAGAGGGAAAACATACTTGGTAGAAGGTCAGCGAAAAAGAGGAAGACCCTTACTGAGATGGACTGACACAGTGGCTGCAACAATGGGCTCAAATATAGCAATGACTGTGAGGATGGCATGGGACTGGATGGTGTTTTGTTCTATTGTACACAGAGTCACTATGAGTAGGAATTGACTTGATGGCACCTAACAACAACAACTCCCCAAACAGATCTAATCAATCTACTATTACATAGATTAAGAAGGACAATAAAAATGAGTTATTTTTACCTTACCTTGATAGGAGATATATGAAAGTATTCATACAGACTGACTTGTGATGTATCCACTAATGAAACTGTTTTATATTCTTCTTGGAAAGCTTCTATATCTTTATGAAAAAGGTCAACCTATAAAGAAACATAAAATGTTAAGGACTGAAGGGACCTAGCTACATGAGACATTTAAACCAATATCCCACACATTGCAGAAAAGTCCTTTATAATATCCACAATCAACATTCCTCATGATAGGGAAGTTACTGTCTCATAAGATACGGAAACTAACAACACTAAGTGTTAAAAAAAAGTTCTGCCTGCCATATACAAATTGATAAACATGTCTTGTATGTTTCCATTTAAACCATTAAAAGACACTAAGCTTTCTTCATGTCACTATAGATCTTATTTCAAATGACCTCTGACCCACTTTATCAACACTTTCTGGGGAATATTTGTTTCTTTAAATACAGTAATTTAGTCCACTTGTAGCTGTTTGGTAAATGCCTTACTGAAATCTATAGAGCCAGTAATATAACCAAAAAAGAGGAAGGCATTGAAAATAATTTTGTGTGAAGCAATTAGGGCATTCATTCTTTATAATCCTTAATACTTCTCTTTCAAACATACACAGATCTAAGTTACTTCTATGTGTTGCATAATGGCCCAAGATTCATATTTTGTTAACCTCGTCACAAGAGCATCAAAATGATAAACTGATTAAAAGTATATCTGGTGACTGACTTCTGGCATGACAGTGTGAGGAGCTCAGAGGACCCGCTCCCCAGTGAAACTGGTAACATTTATTAAAAAACCAACCACGTAGCTTCTGGGAATGGTCCTAAGGGCATACAGCAAATGAGCATACAGCAAATGAAGAAACATGTATTCAAAAAAATCAGCACCAAAAAAAACAAACAAACAAACAAAAAAAAAAACTACAAAAATTCAGTATGAAGGCAAAAGTCTGTGGTATCTGAACAAAGTCTGCTTCCTCTCTTCCACCCTCAGCCCTGAAAGGCAGAAACCACTCCAGACTGGTGCAGCCAAGAACACAGGGCTCCCTGTCCATCCAGCTCCCAGATGAAGGTCTTCCTTCCTGGGAGGAACAGAATGTCAGTGTTTCTATTCCCTCCCCAAACCACCTATTATTGAGGCTAAGTTCCAGGGAAGTATTATTGTGTGGCAGGGACTCCCTTCTTATGTCCAGCACCCACAAGTGGAAAAGAGGCTCTATCTTGGATGTGGTCCTGCTGAGAATAATACTGGGGCCCTGACTGGCCTTGCGCCAGCTGCCATAAGGTGGTAGTTCCATGTCAGAAGAGGCAAAAAAGGAGATCCCAGGGCACTGACTCCTCCCCCACTCAACTGAGGGATCAGCTCCTAAAGCAGGGATGTTATTCAGAGAGAACTGTGACATTGCCTAATCCCCAGCTCCAGAGCCCTGATTCAGAGATTTTGCCTATGGAGAAAGTAGGCCGTAAAACAAATAGCTCCTAATCTCTTCCCAAAGGAATTGACTTCATTTCCAACAGTGTGGAGAAGTTCAAGACTACAGGTGCTCTCAAAAACAGTGGAGGTGGTAAGACGCAATTGGGAGGAGATTTGCAGATTTAACAAAGATAGAGGCTATACTATAGGCTGGCTAATTTGCAGGAGAGAAATGGGGAAAGAAACAACTGGGATGAGGTCTCCAAGGGTTAGACAGATCTCAAACACTGACCTCTGGAACTATTCCTTCAAAGGAGCCCAAATTTGGTTGGATTAGTCTGTAGAGCAATTTATGCCCCAGGGCATTGTTGAAAACAATTGAGTAATCATCCTGCAATTAGTGGAGTGTAACAGCTGCAAGTGGTCAGGGAAAGCAATGGAGAGAGACCTGCTGAAACCACTGTCATCCCAGGGTGACTGTAGGCATACTCAAAGCCACAACTCCATGAAAAGCAATATCAGAGGCTTAACAGTGAGAAGTATGGGAAAACTTCACTAAAATAATCCAGTCAGTCACGAAACAAATAAATAACAATAACAAGCACCAGAGATGGAGGACCAGAATCCAGAGTGGGTACAACATACTATCTAAAATGTCCAGCTTCCAGCCAAAAATTACAAGACATGCAAGTAAAGACGAACTATGATGGATATATTGGCAACAGATACCATGACAATAGAAATTGCCAGTCAGAGAAACCTTGTATTAGCTTTAATGGGAAAAGAATACAAAGTACTCATTTTAAGTATGTTCAAAGAACTGAAAAAAATAATGATTTAAAGAAGTAAAGGAAGGTATGATGATAGTGTCACAACAAATAGAGAATATCAATACAGAGATAAAAATTGTTTTTAAAAAGGCAAATGGAAATTCGGGTGCTGTAAATTACAATAACTCAAGTGAAAAATCCATTAAAGGGCTCAAGAGTAGATTTCAACTGGCAGAAGAAAAACATGAGCAAGATAAATCAATAGATTATGCAACCTGAAGAACAAAGAGGAAAAAAGAATGAAGAAAAATGAACAGAGGCTCAGAGAAATGTGGGGCTCCGTTAAGCACACTATGGTTTGCATAATGGGAGGACCAGAAAGAAAGTGGAGAGAGAGAAAGGAGAAGAAAAAAAAAATATATATATACATATATAGCTATATCTTGATATTAGGTGCAAGTAAATTTTCATGCATAGTAACCCCATGTGACAAAGCAGAACTGCTCCACATGATTTTCTACGCTGTGATCTTTATAGGAGATCACCAGGTCTTTCTCTTGTGGAGCTGCTGGGTGGGTTTGAACCGCCAAACTTCTGGTTAGCAGCTGAGGGCTAAACCATTGCACCACCAGGGTATATGCATACACACATGTATAGTCAAAGAAATAATGGCTGAAAACTTCCCAAATTTACTCGAAAACACTAACCTATGTATTCTGGAAGCTCAACAAGCTCCAAGAAGAATAAACACAAAGAAATTCACAAACACACACATCATAGTAAAAATGCTAAGATTCAAAGACAAGAAGAAAATTTTGAAAGCAGCAAGAGAAAAATCACTCATTTAAGAAAACCCCAATAAGATTAACAGCTGACTTCTCAGCAGAAATAATGGAGGTAAGAAAACAGTGGATAACATATTCAAAATGCTCAAAGGACAAAACAAACAAATAAAAAACTGTCAATCAAAAATTCTATTTCCGGAAAAGCTATCTTCCAGAAATGACAGGAAAAAAATCTCCCATTAGACAAGGCTCCCCGTAATGATGTCACAGTAAAAGGAATCATGTAATTATAAAACAAACAATATAAATATATATTTTTTCTTCTTTCTTCTTATAACTGATTTACTAACTAGTTATACAAAGTAATATGTGCATAATATACTGTAGGGTCTACAACACACAGAAATTAAGATATTTGTAATACATTTGCCAATAACAGCACAAATGAGGTGGGTGGGAGCTAAGGTGTACTGGGCTAAGGAAGTAACTATAGATGATTGAGTAATATTTATAATATGTATTGTTGGGTAGCATTAATAGATGTAATACGTATAACAATAATACCACAAAAAGGGGGGAAAGGGAAGAGAGCTATATAGCAATAACATTTCTGTATCTCCCTGCAATTAAGCCGGTATAAATCTAAAACTAATCATTTAAGATGTATATGGCAAGCCCTGGAGCAACCACTTAAAAAAACTAAAAACAAGAAAAGAAAAAAAAAGCTCTAAATACCTATATTAAGAAAGAAGAGCTCAAATTTAAAAACTTAACCTTCCACCTTAAGACAATGGAAAAAAAAAGAGCAAACTAAACCTAAAGCAAGTAGAAGAAAATACTAATAAAGATTAGAGTGGAAATGAACAAAATACAGAATAGAAAAACTAGAGACTATGTGTCTATGGCAACTGAATTTTGAAAAGGATGCTGCCATGGACTGAACTGTGTCCCCCCAAAAATGTACCAATTTGGCTAGGCCATGATTCCCAGAACTGTGTGGTTGTCCTCCATTTTGTGACTGTAATTTTATGTTAAAGAGGATTAGAGTGGAATTGTAACACCACCCCTACTCAGGTCACATCCCTGATCCAATGTAAAGGGAGTTTCCCTGGGGTGCGGCCTGTACCACCTTTTATCTCTTGTAAGAGATAAAAGGAAAGGGAAGCAAGCAGAGAATGGGGGACCTCATACCACCAAGAGAGCAGTGCCAGGAGCAGAGAGTGTCCTTTGGACCCAGGGTCCCTGCGCGAAGAAGCTCCTAGTCCGGGGGAACATTGATGAGAAGGCTGACAGGGAGAGAAAGCCTTCCCCTGGAGCTGACACCCTGGATTTGGACTTCTAGCTTACTAGACTGTGAGAAAATAAATTTCTCTTTGTGAAAGCCATCCACTTGTGGTATTGCTGTTGGAGCAGCACTAGGTGACTAAGACAGATGCCAAGAGCATCCAGTGGGGAAAAACAGTCTTTTGAACAAATGGACTAGGAGAATTGGATTGTCACATGCAAAAGAATGATGTTAGGCCCTTAAATCACACTATATATAAAAATTAACTCAAAATGGACCAAAGACCTAAATGTAAAAGCTAAAACTAGAAAACTCTTAGAAGAAAACAGGGATATATATTTGTATATCCAAGGAAGACATACAAATGATTAGTGAGTATATCAAAAGACACTTGACATCATTGGTCATCAAAAACCAAACCCGTTGTCGTCGACTTGATTCCGATTCATAGCGACCCTACAGGACAGAGTAGACCTGCCCATAGGGTTTCCAAGAAGCAGCTGGTGGATTCGAACCTTCTGCCAGGCTCTTAACCACTGCACCACCAGGGTCCCAGGAAATGCAAATGAAAACCACAATGAGATATCACTTCACACTCATTAGGATGGCTAGAACAAAAAAGACAGGAAATAACAAGTATTGGCGAGGATTTGGAGAAACTGGAGCTCTCATATATTGTTTGTGGGAATATAAAACAGTACAGCTGCTTTGGAAGACAGTCTCGCAGTCCTCAAATGATGAAACATAGCTACCATACAACCCAAAGGAGCCCTGGTGGTGTAGTGGTTAAAAGCGCTTGGCTGCTAACCGAAAGGTCGGCGGTTCGAACCCACCAGCCACTCCATTGGAGAAAGATGTGGCAGTCTGCTTCCATAAAGATTTACAGCCTTCAAAACCCTATAGGGCAGTTCTATGCTGTCCTATAGGGTCGCTGTAAGTTGGAATAGACTCGATGACAACAGGTTTTGGGTTACGTATCATATAACCCAGCAATTCCACTCCTAGGTAGAACCCAAGAGAAAATACACAAAGTATGAATGCTCATAGTAGCACTATTCGTAATAGCCAAAAAGTGGAAATAATCCAAATGCTCATTAACTGAAGAATAAATAAACAAAATGTGGTATTATCCATACAATACAATATTATTTGGCCATAAAAATAAAGTAATGCTACATGCCACAACATGGATGAACCTAGAAAATATCATGTTCAGTGAAAGAAATCTGTCCAAAAAAAGGCCACATATTACATGATTCCATTCATATGAAATGCCCAGAATAGGCAACTCCACAGACACAGAAAGTAGACTAGTGGTTGCTCAGGGCTGGGGCAAAGGGAGGACAGGGGGGTAATCGCAAAAGGATATGGGGCTTCTTTCTGAAGAGATTAAAAAGTTCTAAAATTGGCTGTGGTAATGGTTGCACAAATCTGTGAATATACTAAAAATCACAGAATTGTTCACTTTAAACGGGTGAACTGTATGGTATGTAAATTACATCTCAATAAATTTATGCTATTAAAAAAAATTTTTTTTAAGTGTATTTGACCTTGTCTCTACCTACGCATTCCATCCTTAAGAATTCATTCTATGAGGGCTAGGAAAAAAGATAACATATTTTAACCACCTTATTGCTGTGATTTTGTAGTCTTCAATCAGTCATGAAGAAGATAGTACCTTTTATTTGCTAAAATTTATTTATTTTGTTGTTGTTGAGAATATGCACAGCAAAACATACACGAATTCACCAGTTTCTACATATACAATTTAATGATTGATTACACTGAGTTGTGCAAACATGCTCATTCTCCTTTTCTGAGTTGTTCCTCCCTCATTGATAATACTTTCTAATTTGCCTATTCCTTCGTTCATAAAATATCCTGGTCATACTCGAATTTCTGTATTATTAATCAAAGCAAAAGTCCACAAAGTAGCCCAGGACAATAAAGGAGGAAAAGATTAGCAATAATGTGAACATTACTCGTTACCCTCATTCCCCTGCTACTGGCCAAAACATTTCCTCCTGTTTGCTAAATAAACTTAAAAAGGTTGTTGCTTATGTTGCTTTATCTTCTATAATCTCAAAATATGATTTCTACCAATGTACTTACTATAACAGCACAATACATTTTTTAAATTATATTTTTTAAAGTAGAAAAAATCATTTAATGTCTTTAAGAATTTATAATATTTGATTTTTTTTTTTAGTCTTCCCCTTTCCCTAATCCTTCCTATCAATTGCTATTATAGTAAATCTTACCTCTGTTTTTTCAGTCACCTCAGCTTCTGCCATAAGTTCTGCTAAAGCATACACAAACCCTAGGTCTAATCTGAGATCCATTTCTTGGATCAACACTTTGAAATACCTATAAGTAGAGAGCATTAAAAATATAATCAGTTAACTGTGTTAAGTAGATGAAAAAAAAAATTAGATAAATATTAGAACTTGAAACTAGGAATTTTTAGATGAATGAATAAAAAACAGTCATGGCAACATTTTTATAATTGCAAAAAATCAGAATATCCAAATTCCCATATAAAGCAAATGAATAAGTAAACTGGCATATAGTTATACAACAGAACATTATACATCAGCCAAACAGACTATAGCTGCATAAAACAACATTAATACATTTTAGTAAAAGAGTCGAATTAGGAAAAAAAAAAACTCCCAAGAATCTGTGCATGGCTTCAAACAATTGTTAAAAAATTAGAAGCAAAAAAAACTTAATAAATAAAAATAATAATAATGTTTAGGTGCACACACACATACAAAATAAAACTGTATTTTAAAAAACAAAGGAATAAGGATAGTGTTTATCATGGTGATAAGGTGAGGAAACCAAGAGATTGGGGAGTAATTAATAGTTTGATATTAATGTAAATGCTCTCTTTCTTGGATTGGATGGTGAGTATGAGAAAGTTATGTTTACCTTGTCTCTAAAACAATACACAGTTATTATAGACCAACTTAAGAGAGGAAACAAATAAACAAAAATAATATCGATGAACTAGAAAGAACATTATTAATACCTAGGTATATTTCATCCAAAGCTCTCTGAATCTCCAAAATTATAAAATGATTAATAATTTTTTCTATAACCTTTATAATTTAATATCTTACATTTAAATCTTTGATTCATCTGAAATTTATTTTTAAAGAATACAATTAACTCATATATTTAAATCAAAATTTTAAACGAACACAAAAGAATTCTATTAATACACTTACTTAATACGTGATATTTGGGAATGCCCTGCAGATCTCATAACAATACTGACATCTGTAAAGGGCTTTGGTGCTGGAAGGTTAATAAACATGATTAATGTCATGGTGTAATTTACTGTACATCACAATGTACAATAAAATCATTTCCTAAATAATGAGTATCAATTAAATTACTGATATTTTCAAGATTCTTACTACAATCTTAATTTCATATTCCAGGATTATGTTTTTAATTATCTGTATTCACTCTAATCCTTTAAATTAGTGATTCTGAAATAAAATTATGCATTAGAATTGTCAGAGAATCTCTGCAAAAGCAGATTCCAGAATGTCAGGTGGAGGGACTTGGGTGGAAAAAGAACTTATCATTTATTCTCATCTGAAACACACAAGACAGTTTCTGCTGTTAGAAAACACTCTGAATTTGAACTTCCTCACTGTTTATTCAAAGGTCCCAACAGTTTTTAAATCAGAAGTTTGCAACTTAGTAATCTGCCTTTTTTAAATTACTAATTCTTAAAAATTTAAATATATAGTTTTAATTAATCTTTTCTTTAGTAGTCACTCAGTTTTGTTGAAGTTAACTGAGTACTTGCTGATCCTTTTCCAAGCAGTTTAATTTTCCAATGATCCTAAAGAAACTAAACTTGAGACTGGTTTCATTTCATATTTTTATACTAAATAAATCAAATAGCTAATACAGCTGCTTTCATGGCAATCTAAAGATAAGAACAAACCTGAATCCATGGTGACCGACTTGGGAGGTCTAATAGGATAAAACACAAATGGAAATACAGCACCATGTATCTGGTTTTGGATCTAAGAAAATCAAGAACAAGTCAGTATATAAATATGTCAATTAAACAAGCTGACTAGAATAACAAGATTGAAGGAGTAGAAGGAATCAAAAGTCTAGTCTAACACTGAAACTGAAGTACTAGATAAAACAGAGCATGGGAATACACTGGACTTCTTACTATGTTCCTTTAGAAGGTGATTTACCTTTCAGGAAGACTTACCTGTATTCTGTAAATTTGAACTCTAAATGACGACTGATGTGCAGATGTGCTATATTCCACCTTTAATGCTGGAAGACAACTTCTCCGTATAGCTATTACATGTGGTTGCAGAATTTTCATGTTACTACCACTAGGTGTTAAGTGAACCTGGAAAATATGCACCCCCCCCCCAAAAAAAAGACCCCCATGAATTTCTCTTTATCTGTAATTGATTAGAATTAGAAATGTGTACCAAAACAATTTTAGTATTAATTAAAATAGCAGGTTAAATATTTGACTAGGTTTAGATTCAGATCTTTATATATATGCTCTGTATTCATAAAATTCACATAAATATTCATATAATTCTAATACTTTGGCTGCATCACTTTTTGTATAAATTAAATAAAAATAAAATAATAAAAAATAAAATAAAATCATAAAAGACAAAATAATTTAGAAAATAATTTCTTATTTTCTTGTTAACCCAAGGAATAGATCACTAACATCTGAACAAAGTGTTTGATTAATACAGATAACTACCCCTTTAAAATATTTTATATAATGTATGCATGACACGATTAATTATATTCAATTATGTTTCAATTTTCCTTGAAAATTCACTAGTGATTCATCTAATTACAACAGATAAAAAGTAAAACTTCAAATAAGTACTTAAAAATATTACCGTAACGTTAGTGTCCAACTCAATAATCTTATCTTCTGAAGGTGAAGATTCAGTATATTCCTTAAATTCTTTCTCTAACTTCTCAGTTTGCTTTACACTCATAGGCTTCCATCTTGCCTTCTTCTTGGGCTTTGTCTCCCAAACCGCATCAGAACTTATATATAAAAGCAAAAATAATAGTACTAATTCATAAACATTTTCCTTTAAACAGGTTAATTACATGAATTACAAAATCTTCGGTAAAATTTTGTAATAGCCTCAGTTATAAGCAAACACACTGTAACTTACAAAATCAATTCATGCAACTAATATTTATTGAACTTCTACTGTGATCAGGCACTATTCTAGGTAGTAGGGATATATCAGTGAAAATCTCTGCCCTTCTAGAGCTTCACTCCAGCTGGAGAGTGTCAGATGATAAATATTAAACATAATAAATTAGTAACTTTAATACAGTAGTGTGAAAATGCTTTTGAAAGGAGAAGAAAGTAGACAGGGTAAGGGGGATCTGAAATATTGGGATATGAAAACTGGACAGGGGCATGTACAGTATTAAAATAGAGTGGTCGACGGGAAGCCTCATTGAGAAGGCGAGATTTCAGAAAGCCTTGAAAGAGGAGAGGAGTTATCCAGCAGATACCAGAAGAACACTTCAGGGAGAGGGACCAGAAGGAGCAAAGACTATAAAGCAGGAGCAGGCCTGTACTGTAAGAAGAGCAAAGAGGCTGGTGTAGCTGGAACACATTAAGTCAAGGGAGAAGTAGAAGATGAAGACAGGAAGTGGGAGGTCAAATAATGTAAAGCCTTGTAAGACATTATAAGGACTTTCGAATTTTATTCTGAATGAGACGAGGAGCCATTAAAGGTTTATGAGAAAAGATCAGTGACGTGATTTGACTTAAATTTTGTTAAAAACACACTGTGCTCTGGGGTAGGAGAAAAGAAAGAGGGTGAGAAAAGGCTAGAGGAAGGAAAACCTATTAGGAGTTTAATGCAGCAAACCAGGTAAGGAAAGGTGATGGCTCTAACTAGGGTGGTAACAGCAAAGTAGTAAAAAGTGGTCAGATTCTATGTGCATTTTGAAGGTAGGGCCAGCACAGAACTTCTGGATAGAGTAGATATGAGATGTGAGATACAGAGATGATTCCGAAGTTTCTGGCCTAGGCAACGAGAAAGATGTAGTTGTCATTAACTCAGATGGGGAAGCAAGTTTTGGAAGGAGGAGGAAATTAGAAGTTTGATTTTGCATACATGAAGAAATCTCTCAGATATCTGGAGAGTGATTTTGTGTAGGCACTTGAATATACAATCTGGAGTTCAGAAGAAAAGTCTGGTTAAAGATAGAAATCTGGTATATAAGTGGTATTTGAAATCATAAAACTGAAACAGACAGATGAGAAGAGGGCAGAGGGCTGAGAGCCTCACGGCACCCAATATTTAAGCAGCTGAGAAGATGCAATCAACAAATGAGATTGAGGATGTTGGGATAGGAAGAAAAATCAAGATGACGAGGTATCATGGAAGTCACATCAAAGAAACTGCATCAAGGAGGGAGCTGTATCAAATGTTATGAATCAAGTGACCTGAGGACTAAGAATTGTACACTGGATTTGGCAATATAGAGGTCATTGGTGACCTTGACAAGACCAGTTTCACAGTATGTTGGGAGCAAAAGCCTGTCTGGAATGGTTTAAGAGAAAATGAGTGAGAAATAATTGGAAACAGTGAATATATTAAACTCTTTTGTAATAGACAAGTTTTGAGGAGTTTGGCTCTAAAGGGAAAAAAAGAAATGGGCAGTAGGTAGCAACGAAAGTAGACTCAAGCAAATTCTTTTTTAAGTTGAGAGAAATAACGTTGATGGGAATGATCTAGTAGAGAGCCAAAACTGTTGACCTTAAAGAGAGAGAAAAGAATTTCTGGATCACTGTCCTTGAGTGGGCAAGAAGGAATGGAATGTATTACAAAAAGTAGAAAATATACTGAAATAGGAGCACATATATCGATGGTAACTGTGGGGAAGCATGTGGGGATAGTATGTAAGTACAAATGCTAACAGATAGGAAGCTGTGATATAGGGAAGTGGGCCTTTAGAAATTCTCTTCTGATTATTTTAATTTTTTCAGTAAAGTGGGATGTAAGGTAGTGAGCTGAGAGAGACAGCAGGAGATGAGATATTGAGGTTAAGGAGAGAGAAAGTGTAAAACAGCAATCCAGGAGAGAGGGAGTGAGTGAAGGGAACAAATCTAGTTGTACTGGACTTAAATTGCTGAAAGGTCTAAATATAGAATAACAATCTATCCATTCTAAAGTTATTTCACTCTTTCTGTCCTCTCTATTGTATTTAAGTTTGTTCCACTTAAAATTTTAGATTCACTTAATAAACAGAAAGGGAAGAACCAGGTCTTATTCAACTTTGCATTCAAATCATTTAACACAGGAGACAGCACATAATAGTAGGTGTAAGAGTCTTGAAAGCTATTTACTATTTGACCTTTTTATTTACATAATAAAAACTTGCATTTTTTTAAGAATAATAAAAATTTCTAAAAAACTGTTTTTAAAATTCCTTTTAAAACGGTATTGGTTCCACTCAGAGAGTCAGGGGTATTTATAGTCAGATAAATTTACATAGAAAACTAAACTTAAATCTAGATCATATACTTTTAATATATATATTTGTTTGAGCATTTACCCCAAGTACAGGATTAAAGCTACATTATCCTGGTTATATAAGCTGAAAGAAATACTCTCAAATTAGGCACTAACATATACAAATTACTTTGATTCATGTGTTTATGAATAAGATAACAAGGGCATAAGAGAGAGAAAATGGTATTACTATTGATTTCTTACATAGGGAATGATAAATAAATACCTAAACCCACTGCTGTCAAGTCGATTCTGACTAATCATGACCCTACTGACAGAGCAGAACTGCCCCAAAGGGTTTCCAAGGCTGTAAATCTTTAAGGGAGCAAACTATCACATCTTTCTCCCACGGAGTGGCTGGTGGGTGTTTGAACAGCCAACCTTTTGGTTAGCAGCCGAGCGCTTCAACCACTGTGCCACCAGGGATCCTAAATAAATACAGTATTACCTTATTAGATCTTAAAGTGCCAGAGTCAAGTTAGAAAGTGATTGTGTTTACTATCAACAACTATTTATAGAGCATCTACACTGTACCCTCCACTGTGGTAGGTGGTGATGGACAATTAAGCCTTTTTTTTTGACATGTTAAATAAGGCAAGTACTAGTTTCCACAAGTTGAATAAAGCTAACCTTTAAGAGAGCTGAGAGGATTAACAACATAATGAGAGGTTTATAAATTTGATTTTTGACGTCTTTATTTCAAAAGGCAAAAAAAAAAATTAAGGACTTTTAAGTTAGCATTACCTTCGTACCAATGAACAGTCAAAAACCAAAATTGAAACTACATTACTTTAAATTTTAGAATCATAATTTCTCATTAAGAACTGATCATTTATGTTTGTCCAAATCTTCATTGATCTAACCTTGTAATGCCGATATAGGCTACTTCTTGTTTTGTGTAATTGTTGACGAGAGAAATTCCAACATTTTGTAACGCCAACACAATCTCTTGCTCTGCTAACTCTGCTTTCTCACTTTCATACGTTACTTTAAATACCCTTGGATCTTCAGTGAATAAAATAATGCGTTGTAAGCCTTCAAAGAATGAAACTAAATAAATGGTCTTTTTCCCCATATTTATAGGTGTCATCATATCCTGAAACAAAACATAAAACAACAGTTAGTTTGGTCCCAACCTGAAATCTAGATTCTGTATTTGTAAAATGAGAATAATAACAGCACCTACTTCACAGGGTTGGGGTGGTAACTAAATGAATTAATATATGTACAATACTTGGAAATTCACATCATACTAATCATTTGACATTAGCTGCTGCCATTACTATTATGAAGTTATTAATTAGGAAGACAAGTCAAATATTTAAGTTCTTCTAACATTTTCATAAAATTTATCTGATAGTCTTCCTTTGTGGACTTATCTATAACAAAAAGTACTCTTTTCTCTGCTTTATTTAAGACTGCAGCAATGTGCTATGTGTTAAAGGTTGTTTCAGTCTGAATTCCTATTTCCTTTCAGAGCTGAATCAGAAATAGGATAAAAAAATAGCTGCTACCTCAGGTCCATGCTCTAAGAAGCATGAATATTCATACTATGAGAGCAATTCTGCAGAAAGTCCTTACATAAGCATTGTGCTGATATAAGGATCTTAAGGTTCAGTGACAAGATAAATATAACAAATTTTAATAATTAACAGCCATGAATTTTTGGTTATGCAAATATTCTGATTAACAGGAAACTATAATATACAGTACACATTCATGTTACAATTCACAGAGATCGAAAACTGAAACTGTTACCATAAAATCAGTATCCAAGTTCAGTCATGTTACTTTAAATATTCTCTATAATAAAATATACAGCATTAAAACTAAATTGGAACTAATTTCTTATTTCCAAATAATTCAGAAGTTTTTCTAGTATCTTGCAGTGGATTTCAGATTTATCTTTATCAACCTGAATTATCACGATGATACAAATATGAAAAAGTACTGATCAAATGAGTAAGATTATTTTTTAAATTAAAAAACAATGAATAAATCTAATATTCAAGAATAAAAATATTTAAGTTAGGTCAACTATAGGCAACCTTCTTAATTACATTTAAAAACCAAAAAACCAACCCTACCGGACTCCTCAATAGCAACACTTGAAGATAATGGAAAAATATCATCAATATGCTAAGAGCAAATAACTCTGAATCCAGAATTTCTTATAAAGCAAAAAACATCCTTCAATTAACAAAAGTATATAAAATAAAGGTACCTACAGACAAATAAAACAACCCTGGTGATGCAGTGGTTAAGGACTCAGCCTGCTAACTGAAATGTTGGCGGTTAGAACCCAACAGCAGCTCTGTGGGAGAAAGATGTCCCACTCAACTTCTGTAACTATTACAGCCTTAAAAACCCTATAAGGCAGTTCTACTCTGTCCTACAGGGTCGCTATGAGTCAGAAATCGATTTGATGGCAGCAGGTTTGGTTTGGTTTTCGGGCATATAAAAACTACCGAAGTTCATCATCAACAAAGACTCACTCAAGGAAATTCTACAGAAGGAATTGTTGTTAGGTGCCATTGAGTTGGTTCCCACTCATAGTGACCCTATGTACAATAGAATGAAACACTGCCCGGTCCTGTGCCATCTTCACAATCGTTATGTTTAAGCCCATTGTTGCAGCCACTGTGTCAATTCATCTTGTTGAGGGTCTTCCTCTTTTTTGCTGACCCTCTACTTTACCAAGCATGATGTCCTTCTTCAGGGATTGGTCCCTCCTGATAACATGTCCAAAGCACATGAGACAAAGTCTCACCATCCTCACTTCTAAAGAACATTCTGGCTGTACTTCCTTCAAGACAGATTTGTTTGTTCTTCCGGCAGTCTGTCATGGTTTGAATTATGTCCCCCCAAAAATGTGTGTATCAATTTGGCTAGGCCATGATTCCTGGTACTGTGTGATTTTCCTGTATGTTGTAAGCCTGCCTCTGTGATGTTAATGACGGAGGATGGGTGGCAGTTGTGTTAGTAAGGCGGGACCTGATCT